TAAGTTTGCAGACAGTTGACCCTCTCACGGGTCTTGGTATAGGAGCTAATCTCACATAGGTCACCAGGATTGGCCCCTCACTTTCCACCCCACACTCGCCAGACAAATTTCGTGACCCTGCCTTTACCGTTTGAATTCCGTTAGTGGCGTCTAATGCGGCACATAGGTTCGTATCTCCGAGGTTTCACTGTTTGTATGGTGAACCCTTGTGCGATGCGCTGCGCTCGTAAGAGGTGGGCGGCAAACTCGTTCTGGTCTCTTGCGTCATTACCTTCAGCTCAAAGAGGCCCCGTCCATCATATATAGGCCACTGAGAAAAGTTGGAGTGTTAACAATCTCTAGATCATGACCTCGGTCGATAAACAACCTCCAGGATATTCTAATGGCCCCTCACAACTCCCACCAACGTTCCCAGTGGGAAAGCATAACACAGTGCCTCTAGTGACCGTACAAGACTTGCAAGCCCACCTCCGAATCCTCGGAGCGTTTTACAAGCTCAAGCAGGATGTACATGGTATGGTGAATGGGTCGGACAAGGAAAAGGATGAGGCGTGGGTGGTATATGTCAGTCGTGCTGTTCACCGGTTCGGAGTGTTTGTAGGGACCGAGTGGACAAGTGAGTTTGTGGGGTGGAAAGAGGAGACGGCGCCTCCTTTAGACGTGCTCATGGTGCTTCATTCGTATTTACTGGTAAGCAGTTACAAGGGCGTGGAGAGGAGAGGTTTATTCTTTACAGAACCCTCTTGCGTTTTATGAGGATTGTGTCCGACGTACAACGTTCTTTGCGAGGAATCTAACCGCTATTGGGTAGGCACTCGAGTTGATCTTTGGAAGAAGGCTGACCTTTGAAAGGTCCTTTCCAGTCCAGCTCGTCGCATCCCTGATTGACCCTGACACCCTCGACGCATACCCTCCTTCTAACGAGCGCAAAGCATTCTTTGAGGGTATCACCAAGGAGCCGTTCACTCTCCCTCTTACCACTGCCACCTCAGACATCCTGTCCTTGTCTTGCCCCTGCTGCGACAAGACCGCGGACAAGGTACCATGGGTCACTGGTGAAGGAAAGGGATTTGCTCAACCGGGGTTTAGTTTTGCTTGTTCGAGTTGTGCGAAAGAGTTTACGAAACCGATGATTGGGATTCGTCGCTTTGCAGACGAGGTGACGAGGAAACGGGCGAAACGGCGAGTTTATTTTGCGTGAGCATGTTTTCATTGTACGGATTGCACATGGTAATAGTGTTTACAGTGAGACGCTTCTTGACCCCAAGACGGGACAGGCTCATGATAGCGTCGCAGACATGTTTACCGTACGCTTGCTACGAGTAAGTGCGGTTCTTGAAAAACGAGTTGGATGTTAAATTCTACATTAGCGCATCAATGCAGTATTCTCGTTATCCAAGCATTGTGAGGATAAAGATATCGGGGCAGAAGCGAGAAAGCTAGCTGCAGGACTCGAATGGAGCCCGGCTACACTCGCTGAGAACCTTCAAATTGGACTTCAACCCAAAGCAGACTTTAATCCCGATCGAATCATCCCGAGGTAATCAATTTCACGGCTCTCGTTTTCCAGGAGCTCAAGGTTCATAGGGTCTCGAGGATTGTAGCTGCGTATAGTAATCCTGGACCTGCTAGCATCGATCTCGTTGGTGCTGTACTCAGGCAGTCTACGTTTGTCGCTAAAATGTACGAGATGGGCTGGTCGAAACCGGGTCAAGTTCCTCAAGACCAGAAAATAGCCAATCTTGTTCGAGCAGCGGCGAG